GCCGATGTTGGTGGCATGCTGGGTTCCCGGATTCCGGGCTCTGGGTTCCCAGGTTCCCGGTTATTGGTTCCGGGCCGATTTCGGTGGGTTCTGGGTTCCCGGGCTCCCGGATTCCCGGTCGATCACCTCAGCGAAGACCATCCATTGATTGTAGGTTTTCTTTGATGTAGTTCTTGTTATAGGAACATCTCTGGGTTCTGAGAACAATTCGTGGGGCCCACAGGAATGCCGGGACGCCTGGCGCCTGCACCGCTTCCTGGGAGGGGGAGGGCCTCGTCGCCACGCGCCAGCTGCGCGCGCGCCAGGGTCCCGCCTCGCGCTGCTGCCCCTCGAGGGGCCTCGCCTCCGCGGGCTCTCCTGGAGAGGCCCGTCCTGGGGGCCCGCGGAGCCCTGCGGAGGGGAGGGTCTCCAGGGGGGGCATCCTGGAGCCCCTCGGAAGGAGGGGGAGGAGGAGGAGGAGGAGGAGGAGGAGGAGGAGGAGGAGGAGGAGGAGGAGGAGGAGGAGGAGGAGGAGGAGAAGGAGGAGGGAGGAGGAGGAGGAGGAGAGGAGGAGGATGAGAGGAGGGAGGAGCGGAGGAGGAGGAGAGGAGAGGAGGAGGAGGAGGAGGAGGAGGAGGAGGAGCAGGAGGAATAGGAGGAGGAGGCCGCCATGGGGCAGGCCGCAGACTCAGATCTCCGGCGATGTGTGTTTTTCTTCCGTGCTTCCAGAGCTGTAAGGCGCCACAGGCCGGGCCGCCTACGATCCGACTCGGTGCGGGTCGATTCGCCGGCGGGGGCCGCGATTCCAATTCGATGCGATCCGGCTCTATTCACTGGCATCGGCCAGGGCCAGCCGGAAGCGGGGCGCGGCGGTTCGATGCCGATCCGATTCGGGACGATTCGCTGGCGATTCGATCCGCTCTCGATCCGATCCGATGTCGCGATCCGATCCAGCGCAGCCCTGGCAGGTCTAGAGTAACCAGAGACCCGAGACCAGTCTTCACCACGTGCGACGGCGCACCTTGGGTGGTCAGATGCCCGTGGCTTGGCAGGTAAGCCTGAAGGCCCCTTAGAAATTGCTGCGGAGCCTCGGGTGCCCCGGGAGGCGGTTACAGTCGGGAGCGTTTGCTTAGCGTGTCGCTCCACCGGTTCTGGCCCCACTACGCTTCGGCATGACACAGTGAACATCTCCCAATCCCCAAGGGTCAACGTTCCGAGCCTTTCGAAGCCTCCCGCCCCGCGGAGCGGAGCGACAGGCTACCCGCTCACAGGGCATAGCTTGTTCCCAGATAGCTGCCTGAGAGCTAAAAGGGCTCCAGATTAGAAGCCGGCACCGCAGGGTAGCCCGGGAGCTCGTTCCGGCTTCCGCCAAGCCTGCGAACTTGCAGCGTGTCTTGGAAGGCCTTTTCCTTACTGTTTCCCGATACGTGTGCACCGAAGCTTTCTGGAAGCTCCTTCGGAAGCTCCTTCCTAGATCTTCCAGAGATCCGTCCACACGTTTTCGAAGGGCTTGATGGCACGTCGCTATCCGGGTGTTGGACTCCACAATCGCCAGGGCCGCCGCCGCGACACGCTAAGCAGGCTCCCAATCGTAAACCTGCAGGCCCCTGGGAAATTGCTGAGGGGGTCTCGGTGTACCCTGGGAGGCGGCTTCGAGGTGGATCCTTGGAAGTCGCCACAAGGCGCTGCTCTCGGAAGCACCCTACTGGGCTGATGGGTCAGTTTTCCACCAACCACTACCATAAGTAGGCCGGGGGGGAGGGAGGATGAGGAGCTCCTCCTCCTCCTCCTCCTCCTCCTCCTCCTCCTCCTCCTCCTCCTCCTCCTCCTCCTCCTCCTCCTCCTCCTCCCCATCTCCCCCTCCTCCTCCTCCTCCTCCTCCTCCTCCTCCTCCGCCTCCTCCTCCTCCTCCGCGTCCTCCTCGTTCTCCTCCTCCTCCTCCTCCTCCTCCTTCTCCTCCTCCTCCTCCTCCTGCTCCTGGTCCTGCTCCTGCTCCTCCCCAATTCAATTTCCTTGTAACTAATGTTTCCCTGTCGCACCCCGAGGCCAGTTTTTAGGGCAGCCAGGCGTTTCGCTTGAGACTTCCTCACCACTTATGATTCTGAAGCTTAAAAAATGGCAGCAGCTTCACAGATGGAGAGTGGGTGGTTTTCAACATGTGGCTCCCGCCTTAGCGCCGCGCACACTCGTTTTTGAATTTGCACGAGCTTCACGGATTGAGGGCGGGTCGTTCTCAAAATGTGGCTCTTTGGCGCATCGCACATCGTTTTAAGCAATTACAAGAGCTTCACGGATTGAGGGCGGTTCCGTGTCAAAATGTGGTTCTCGCTTTGGTGCCGCACACATTTTCTTTAAGGCTTTGCAAGAGTTGCACAGATTGAGGACGACTCCTTTTCAAAATGTGGTTCTCGCTTTAGCGCCGAGCACATTCGTTTTAAGTGTTTGCAAGCGTTTCGCGGATTCCCATCATCATCGTACCAGAAACAACTTGCTGGAAGGACTCAAGATTATGCGGGCGCAA